AAAAAAAAAAAAAAAAAAAAAAAAAAAAAAAAAAAAAAAAAAAAAACCTAATGTAGTATGAGCTCTTGAATTCCCGATATTTAGATTGTTCAGTGTAAATTATTTGATATAAACCAAAAAGTTTGAAGTCGTCTGAAATTTCGTGCAGCAAATGAAATAGTATCAGTCTTTCTAAGTGGTCAATCGCCCTTATTAGACTAAGACTATTTATTACAAACACATTTAGTATCTGAAAAGTATCTTCTGCCAACAATACGATTATATGTATTGTACCTACAAAAATCACAAACTTCTGAATGACGTCATTAATTAAAAACTTTTTTTATCTACTATTCTCATCACATCAATGATCACTTCCAATTACATCTCAAGCTTCCATTATTTCCAATTTCGCTACAAACTCCACTAAACGCTTCGTCAACATTAACTATCCTCCCTCTAGATACGAGACAAAGTTTAAAATGGCCGCCTCTTTTAATTAAAACTCCACCAGAAACTGCAGTTTAGTGTTTATACGTTTCAACGACACTAATTAAGTATAACATAATATTACATAACGTATTTTACTTTCACAATAGGATGTATTAAATTTTATATTCACTTTTCGATGTTATTGTTGATGATTTGACGATGCTCATTGAGTATTGTGAGATATGAAACTAGCCAGCCAGAGTCTGACACACCCTCTCGCCTCACATCGAGTATAAGAGTGCAATCAATGATTTTTCACACTAATAAATAAAAATTCATTGCATTCACTTAAGGGAAAACGTTCCAAACTCCATACACGGATATATTAACAGCATTGTTTTAGACAAGTAGTCAGAATTTATTATGATACTCAATGAAAACCCTATTTTTTGACCATTTATTTTATGATTATCCTGTATAATGATAAAACCAGCACTAACGGTCGATAGACGGCAATAAGTACCTACACCAATCGCAAATTCCAAACTTAATTTTCAATATTCTCAAAATGAAAAAATTACAATTTTAGAAACAAGATCCTTTATTCCACAGTCACGCCTGCGAACACGATCGATGTCAAGAAGGTATAATTAAGAATTCTACTAACAACGTGCACAAGTACCAACATTATCATAACTATGTAGTAAGTTGAGAACAAAGAAAGTACTTCTTCATGTTGTAATGATAATAGAAGATAATGAACACTGCTTACGAATGAGAGAATACTCTCAGTCCACACAATTATATCGTCACATGATCACGAGCGTGCATGGGAACTTCCTTCAAAAACTGCGCAGCTAATACGAATATACTTTAAACGTCAGGGTCTATTATTTCCCCAAGTGTTAGAAACAAAGATGCGTTTACAGTTTTTTATGGTTTACGAAACTCAAGCAGATAAATTACCTAATGGTAAGCAATCGATGTTGTCCATGAACACCCGAAACACCAGAGTACAAGTGCGGTGCCGGAATTTTGGGGGTTAGAAATTTACTGTAGCTTTTGCCAGTTAGGAATTTGATGTAAGAGGAGTCAAATCTCATTGCCATTGTCATTGCCACAAACTGGGCACAATTCCAGCTTCTATGCAGCGTGCTCTTAATGAGAATTTCGAAATCGAAAATTCCAATATTATTGCGGTTAACCCTGATTGTTTGTGGGATTCTCGTCGTCAGTATTAGCGACAGCTAGAAAATTGACAGAATAATTCTAAAAATATTTTGTGTTATGTCGTAAAGGAGTCGAATTGACGATGAATAATTATTTGTGACAACAAAATTTCTTAAATTTAAATGTTCACTGAACTAAGGTGACCTCGCCTATATTGTAAACACACAGAATCCCAAAAGAACAACGGAATAATGTATCTATGATTAGATACTTGCGTAGATTATTGAGATTGTCTGTTGTATAAGATGGTGCAGAGTTCGGAAACTTGAGTAACAAAATTGATAAATTAAAAATCTTTTAGTTGTAATTTTTAAACAATATTTAATAATTCCATTAAACTACACAAAGAAAATGACATTGATGACCGAACTGATCTGACGGCAATGGACATCCGGGCTTAAAGAGAAATGACATATGAGTGAGTATTTAATTAATTAAGCTTTGAGCTCAAAAGAGAATATTATTTTCAATACCATATTATTATTTCACGTAGCACACTTTTGACAAATTTTCATCTTTTGTATTTAACGTCAGTGAAGCTGACATTTAATGATGTCCGAACATACAATCCGGCCATTACTTGGTAGTTTGGTAGTACAAAAAATATTCTGTTTCTACGTAAAAAATACATTAGTCACACGATGTACAGAAAACAAAACAACAATACTTAAATCGACAAACACGAAAACTGATGATAAAAAATTGTGATAACGATAAATTCATAACAACGCCATAAAAACGAAAGAATTTAAACCAGTAATATCTTGGAGACACCATAGCTATTGTTTGAACATTAAAACTAAATACAAATTGAAGTTTGTTTGACATCGTCTTACATTTTCACTCGTATTTGAATAGCTTGCCATCTCGTATATCTGCGTCATTTGATAAAAACTCCGTAGGAATTAGTTACTATGAGACGGCAGCACACCCGCAGTTGTTAGTTCAGCTTAACAGTACACACTAAATAATCCCATTACTATTACTTGCTATCGTAAAATTCCATTTCATTCTATCCCATAAGATTTTTGAAAAGGGCCTTATGTTGACCCTTGAGGTACTCCAAAAACCCGACTATCGATTTGCGTACCTTTATCACCGCCATGTCAGTCTCCATTAGCATTTTTTATTCATCTATGACAGCATCTCGAAGTATAACTCATTACATCACAAAAACCTACCATGACCTCACATATCATTGAACTTTATACACAATTTTCTTAAGTATACACAAAAAATGGAGGTAACAGTTAAAAAAAATGGTGCGGTTGAATGTATCGAATGCGTCAAACGGGACAAACTTTACTTAAGCCTAAGTAAATATATGTGAAACCAATTGTCGTCTGCTCTAGTATTTGCAGTTTCACTGGCTACGTCATGAATTTTATATTTCAAGTATAACGGAACATTTCGTCAATAGGGAATACCTCCAAATTTTACTAGCGATGGTTTCAATTGTTTTAGAATAACGTATTTCATATCGTTAAGCAAACAAAACTACCAAATTTTAATTATCATAATTTGAATTATTAATTATTATTTCCAAGATGCGCAGTTGCTTCCGATGCTATCTTATTTCATTTTTCAATTCTATTGTCAGCGTCAACCTTGAAGTTTTAATGTTTATGTAATATTCTTCAGTTTTTTGCTTCTTAATGCGGTATTAAAAAAGTTTTATCTCAAATACTTACATTTTTTAGAAGAACCGGAACAATAATTCTTTATCCACAAACTGTACATCAATTTCGTTCGAACTCACAAATAATTAAAACGTATCCACTAACAGTAATATTGATTAGAACTTGCTATTAAATAATTATACCAATACCAATGTCAATTCTTTAAAAATTCGTTCGTTGACGCACTTTATACTAAAGATAAGATAAAGTACACTATAATTACGAAAAAAAAACCTATGTTCTATTTTAGTAACACTGTCTTCACTACTACACTTCACGTTATTTTTTATTTACATTCACATAGAATTTTCGTGGTCGTGAACATGTCGGTGACTCGTCACACGGCCGTGAGACGTCCGTACGGTACAGAATTCGCGGGCCGACTAAAGACGTGAGCGGTGTCGACGCGGACCGACCGCGCATCACCTGTAGCTCACGACTCAACTCCAACGATATTTTCACTCTTTTTATCTAATTACCTTTATTGATAATCTCCATACATTTTTCATCCAACATTAATATTATATTTTTAATTATTTTCTATGGTTCTAGCTTATTAAATAACTCAGTTTATTTTACTAATAGTTGGTGTAGATTAATTCATTCGTTACAAGCCGTGTTTTGAATAATATCAACAATTTGTAATCGCAATATGAATCCTTAAAATTTCATTAAGTTGCTATGATATTTTCACATCGAGCCCTCGTATTACTTTAATGAATTTAGCGATAAGTTGCCTCTTGTATTAAATTTATCATAATTATGCCTTTGACACCTTCGAAGTGTATGAAGTCTAATTAAAATTTAATGTATGCCGTGAAGCCTTTGACATAAAACTTAATAGCATAAAGAAAGACGGGAGATAAACTTCGCATGTGAGAATATCGTGAGACACAGGAGCTAATTATTATAAAAGTCTTAAATAATAATGGCATGAGAATTGCAAATAAACCTTTCGAAATTGCGTTCGTTATTTCGAATATTTGTGTATTTATGTTCGACAATTTTTTTTTTTGGAAAACCCGCACTCTACGCTTTTCTCGTTTGTCGTGGGTACGTTTACAAACATACAAGTTCACATACATATGACACCCAGACTCGGAACAACAATCTGAGGATCACAAAAAGAGTTGTTTCGTGCGGGAATTGAACTCACGACACGTAGTATGGCATCCAGTTGTCCAACTACCGCGCCAACCGTGCAGTCAGTGTTAAAGCAATAGTCAAAAATAAGTTTGTCGCTGAATGACTGGCGGTAAATTGCTCAATTTAAAGTTTAGAATATTTTTTTACCAACCTTACTAGAAGAGAGGTAGAGGTCTATAGTAAACTGGTACCGTCTAATTTGCCATCTCCAACCTTTTTGCCATACGTACAGATTATGGCAAGCTACGTAAAGATAAAGGGACCCCCATTTATCTAATTACACA